AGACATATTCTGCTTTTAGAAAGATTCACTTGTACCCTTGTAAGATAAACCATAGAGGTGACCCCACCAATCACCCTCCCTCCACCCACCTACCCCCCTCCCCTCTTAAATTTTTTAAAATCTTGGATCATTTGATGCGTCTAGTAGTCTTGAATTCAACATCCACTGGCTGAGGTGCAGTGATGAGGTGGCTAGAATTGCCAGGGGACAGTGGCATCAGTGCATCTTCGGTGTGTTTGGGATATGATTTAATAAGAACACATGGTGGAATCCCAGAGGTTAATCCTTGACATGTAGATTCAGAAGTGTAGGTCAGAGATGCTTGTTGGTGGACAAGTCGGTGGTGGCTCCTAAGAAACAGTGAATAAGGTGAGTGAGAACCATCAGCTCTAGAAGGAGACCATCTGTGTTTCAGTCCTAGGTCTGTAGTCACCTGGGGCAAATCATTTAGCCTGTCTGTGCTGTGGTTTATCCATCTGTAAAGTGGGAATGGGAATGATCCTCATATTTTCTTTGTAGGGCTAATCCATGTAAGGTGCTTAGCACGGTGGCTGACAAGTAGAAAGGGTCGGTAGGTGGTGGAGGAGGAAATGAGGTGTGGGAGTTGGGATGGCCAGCATCCATGTCCTTCCTCACCCTCGTGAATTCCTGAATCCACACCACAGCACAGAGTCACAGAAGGTCAGTCTGTGGCAGACCGGGTCAAGAGATAGTAGGTCGCACTTATTGGTGGACTACAATTAGAGAAGTGAGAAAGAATAGTATTTTGTTAGTGTGACAACTTTGTGTCCTACCCATATGTGCTCCACCAATAGCTATCACCAATGACTATGGGTCGGGGACTCTGTCCAGTTGTCTTATTGCCTTTAACATGGTTCCAAAAGGTTAACAGCCCACGATAGTGCGTCCATCACAGACCAGTCTTCTGTTAGCTGTCCCGTGGGAGAAAGGCAGAATTCTCAAGTTGCTGCTTCCCAGCGTATTTGCAGCAGAGCTTCTGTGGATGGAAGTCCTGCATGGTGCATGTTTACTGATGGACTTCTCAGTCTCACAGCCCCTGTCCCATAACCCTGCGAATGTGGTTCCCTCTTGATACCTCTTGGGCAGTGGGGAATACAGGTATTGGGAGAATATACTTAATTCAGTGGTTCTCAGATGAAGATAATTTTTTCCCCCCAAGGGGTATTTGGGCAATGTCTGGAATCATTTCTGGTTGTCATAGTTGAGGAGTTGCTACTGTCCTTTAGTGGGTGGAGGCCAGGGAATCTGTGAACCATCTTACAGTGCCCAGGACAGTCCCCATGACAATAGTTATCTGCCCCAAAGTGTCAGTAGTGCCAAAGTTGAGAAACCCTGAGTTAACCTGTACTAGAGGGCCAGGTCTGCTTTGGTTATCTGCACTTGCCAATATAATAGTTAAATGCTATTCTAGGGTCTATTTGACTTCTAGTTGGCTGGTGATAGAGGCTCCAGGCAGAGAGGCTGGAAATGGAGAGCCTGATCTCCTGAATCCAAGGAGCGTTTCTTTATGTTGAGCGTCGCCGCTTCTCACATGACCGTTCCCACCTGCATGGCTGATGTCTGGCAGCCCACTGATTCATTAGACTTAGTGGCAGAGCAGAGCAGGTTACTGACTCCCACTGTCCAGGCCCACTAACACTGTGCCAGTGACAGACTGTGAGTCATGCAGACCCCAGAGGGTGTGAGCTCATGACTCTTTGGATAAGTGATGCAGCTTTGCATCACCCAAGGAGAGACTGCTTTAGGAAGGATGAAAGTGTTTTCCAGAGGAAAGTTTTATTTATATATTTAACAGGCAGTTATGCACTGCTTACTGTATGTTAGGCAGTGTTCAAAACACTGCATATAAATATTAAGTCATCGAGTCCTCATAACGACCCCCCAAGCAGGAAGCTTATTCATGTCGCTCTTTTATAGATGAAGAAACAGGAACAGAGAGCCAGGACTCAAGCCCAGGAAGTCCGGTTCAAAGTCAGGTCCTTAACTACCATTATGGATAAAAGACTCTAAAATTCACCCCTTATTCCTACCTAGGTTCTGACTTCTGGCTGGTCCCAGTGAGGTTTCAGGGAATCAGGAAAACCTGAGGCAAGGCTTCATTCTGATTTATTAGTTTTGTAACCACTAACATATTAATTAATGTCTTTGAACCTCAGTTTTCTTATCTGTAAATGGAGCCATAGATACCTCACAGGGAGGATGTGAAGATAAAACAGAATTATCTCTGTGAGTGGCATATGATGGTGTTCAGGAAACATTAGTTCCCTTCTAGTGTCTTAGCTGCAATCGTGGTTGTAACCTGATTGCACCAAAGCTACAGCTAGCTTGTGTATGTTTTAGGATTCCTTTATGAGTTGGCTGGTCAAATGTGGCCACAAGAGAAGACATAGAAGCTGATGTTATACTCACAGGTCCTAGAGACAAATAGTACTACCTGCCTCTCAGGGCCCTGTGGGAAGGACATCACGGTGATCTGAAGGCAGAAGGCAGCTAGGGGAAGTTTTAGGACAGCCTTTCTTAGGACTATACTGTTTAGGATTGGCTAGCCCAGTGGGCTTTGGGATATATTGGTGGCCCCTAGTTACCTGGCACCTGGCCCTGGGATTGTTAAGGCAGAGAAACATTGCCTTTTATGATGAAATAGCAGAGCCAGAGTTTTTGGTTGGTTAGTTTACATATCAAAAACTGGCTTCTGATATGGAGAGAAGGGAGCACTTCTGCACTGCTGGTGAGAGTGCAAACTAATACGTCCCTTCAGGAAAGAAGTTTGGAAAACACTTAGGGAACGAAAAGTTGACCTGCCGTTCCATCCTGCAATTCTTCTACTAGGTATATATCCAGACGACCAAAAATCACTTTACAACAAAGACACCTGCACAAGAATGTTTATTGCAACCCAGTTCATAATTGCCAAGTCGTGGAAGCAGCCTAAGTGCCCATCAACCCATGAATGGATTAAAAAATTGTGGTATATGTATACCATGGAATACTATGCAGCCATAAAAAGATGGAGACTTGACTTCTTTTATGTTTACCTGGATGGAGCTGGAACATATTCTTCTTAGTAAATATCTCAAGAATGGAAAAAAATACCCCATGTGTTCAATATGATTATGAAATCAATATATAATCACATACACTTTCATATGAAAGATATAACACAATTATAGCCCAGAAAGGAGAGAAGAGGAGGGTGAAGGGAGGAGAGGGGTTAAACGTGTGGTGGGAGTGTAATGGTGGGACCTCACCTACTGTGCGCAAGGGTACATGTCAAATATATTAATAGTAGAGTATAAATGTCTAAACACAACAATTAAATAAGTGAGGTGAACACTGTTAACTAGTTCTATGTAAACATTCCAAGTGGTCTATAAAATCAGCACATTGTACCCCATAAATGCAGTAATGTACACAGTTATGATCTAATAACCCCCACCACCACCCAAAAAAAAGACTAGCTTCTAGGACTGGACTCTTTCTTGTCCTTAATAGTTGATTAGACTCTAGACAGAGAGTCTCCCCCCAATCAGAAAGACTTTTTAGCATGTCAAAACATAACAATGTATAGAAAATTAAAAAATGTTTATAATCCAGTGTATCTGCAGGGAAGATACACATTGAAGAGGGAAAACATGGGCCTAGTCAGGTTTTGGTTTGGTCTACAGATCTTAGCATTGTGAAGTGATCTGACTGATGTTGGGATGAGATTATTCCAAGAACCAGACTTTCAGGGTAAAGATGTGGTTTTCATTCTTGTGTATGGTTTTTAGTCTCTTAAGTGATGCTGACTATAAACCACTAAGAGCATAAACTTCCATGATCATGGCGTCTCCGTTTCTCTTCGGCTGAGTTTCTCTTCGCGTGCAAAATGGGACAGCTTGCCTCTCTGCTAAGCTTGGTTGGCTGTGGTCTGGGCTGGTGAATTGAGTAGGTGTGTATGTGTTTCCCGGCCAGATCACAGCATCTGCTGTGTTTGCAGCAGAACGGATGGTGGCAAATTCCCATTTGTCTTAACTTGGGGCTTTTCTCAGTCTTGCTACTTGCATTATGCGCTTCTCCCTGGCCCACTCCCAATTCAGAAATGGCTCTGGATTCTGTTCATAGGAGGACTATCCTGTTGGCCGTCTGTCTTTCTGACATACCAGTCAGTGTATCTTTGATTATGAGTTTCCAGAGGACAGGATCATCTCTTGCTGTCCCCGCCCAGTGGAACAGCTTATCTACAAACGTAGTAAATGTTCACACAGGGGTAAAGAAAACCACCTGTAATTTATCCAGAGGGAAGGGTACTGCTCTTTAAACAAACAGTCAGATATGTAAGAAAGAGAATAAACTCTTAAATCGAAGCACCACAGAGAGACTATCCCTAGCATCCAGAACAATGCCTGGCACACAATTTTTTAATAAATACTTGTAAGCAAATAAGCAACTCCAGGTCTTTAAATATCTTTTTCTAAATCTGACTGTAGTCAACTCTGGGTTATCCAGCATGCCTGGAAATCTGGAACTGTGGCTTTTATTAAGTGCTACCATATGTAACCAACAGAAATAAACATATCTGAAAAAATTAGAACATAATAGAGTGTACAAAACTAAAAATAATAATGAATTTGATCCACAGGCTGCTTTGGGACTCTGCCACAGCTTTGGGTTGTCATTTTTGGGGTCAGAAACCATTGTGCTATGAAGGAGAAGGAATTTAATCAGTGCCATGGTAGAATGCTAAGTAAGTTTTCTGTCAACATGGTAGCTGGAAGTAGTTTTATCTAATGTCATCATTGCCAGACTTGGATTCTGCCACTGATGGATCTGTTCAGTTTAGGGTGGCCCCTTATCACCTTTAAGATGTGGTTTGTTAGGGCAGATCTTTTGTGCTACTTTGAGACATTTGGGAAGTTTTGTGTTCCGTATTAGAGAATGAGCCAGACAGACATGTAGAAGCCAGAGTATTCTTAAATCGTCTGCATTTTCTTTTACAGATCTGAAGAAAACCCTTGCTGTGTTATTGGATAACATTTTGCAGCGCATTGGCAAGTTAGAGTCGAAGGTGGATAATCTCGTTGTCAATGGCACAGGGACCAATTCGACCAACTCTACCACAGCTGTTCCCAGCTTGGTAGCACTTGAGAAGGTTAATGTGGCAGGTAAGAATGACAATGTTCTCTATCCTGACATAGTCAAGCCCTGCTTTGGACCAGGAAAAGAACTAAGGAACACAGAGGTTCCTACTGGTATCCATTATAAGTTCTGTAACCTTGGTATGACCCTTGTAAAAATAAGTTTAAATTTATTTTTGAAGGGAATAACAGGTGGTAACATGCTTTTATAGTCTCCCCATGATATACAGGGTGGACATAAAGTGCGATTTAAAATAGTTAAACATAGTTAATTGCACACGACCTTCACGGACACTCTGATGATATCCAGTAGTTTCTGTGACATGTTTGTACATCATAAGCTCCTGGAATTCTCTTCTAATGAGAAAATTCATACTATGGATTAAATGAAATACAAAGGTCAGTGAAGAAATTCATAACTTTCAGAGTTCCTTTCTCCTCCCCACTCCCATCAGACCATTTCAGAAGTGTTCCGTGTAATAATAATCTCTCATTCCTGTTAAAGAAGAGCCATCATTGCAGAAAAATGTCTCCTGTGTGTGTATAGAGAAATATAAATTCTAGGAATGGCATCTAGGAGATACATGGCCCTTGTCGCCTCCTGGCCAGATTCTGTAGCCACTCATGGACACTACCATGCAATTCCCACTGTGACTCATTTTTTGTCTGGCCCCTTCTTGAAGCTAGAATATTAGATGAGAGCAAGAAAATCAATTAAAAACAAAACCCAAGTTAACAACATATCATTGTCCACAGCTCACGTTGGACCCCACTTTCCCATCCCACAGCCTGGGTCAGTCCCTGGGCCTTTGTGCTTGAGCAGGACTGCTCTTATTAGGGTGACCACTGTTTTCTAGGGACCCAGGAAAAAACAGAGTGCCTGAGGGCTTTGGGTGAATGGTTGTGACCAAGCTGTCTATACCTCAGGTAGATGGTAGCCAACCTCTGGGTTAATGGGTAAGTAAGTGACTGGGTTACTTTTGAAATCTAGTTCTACTTCTAAAAATTTAGTTTCATGTACTTGTAAGCTTCTTTCTTTCCCTCTTCTTTCTGATAAAAATTCCGACATAAGCAGGAGAGATTGTTTTCCTTCCCCGCCTCCAATGTCAAAACATCTAATCGTACCACATGATGCAAACTGTGGTTGTATTACCTTTTGTTACGCTCTTTGCCCTTGAGCAAATTTTAAATTGCAAAGTATATTTCTAATAATCTAAGCTCTCCAACTAAATAAAGGTATTAAAAATAACTTTTAATTACAAACAGAGGCAGTGTCATTGAGGCCGTAAATTCTGTCTTCCTTGCACTTCCAACAGCTTCTGTAATTAGACAAGAAAATCTCCCACTGCGTTGATTGCTTGTTAATAAACAGGAGCCAGGCCTCTCCCACCCCCACCCCCACCCCCACCCCCCTCACCCCCCCACGCAGTAGAAAGAGTTGCTGGAAAGGTCCTATCTGGCAACATCCCTGTTCTGCATCAGATTTCTGGAGGTGGGATGGGGGTGTTCTGTCTTTAGTGTTGTTGCCCCTTCCACTTTCCTGTGACTTAGGGTCCCTGTAAACACACCTACTGTCACTCTCCCCCTGATGTGGGGTCCTGCTGCCTCTGGATGTCCTATTGGTTGCCAGGCTCACAGAGAGACTTTTCTACCCCAGCGTCATGTGGGAGGGCACAGGGTCACGGGTTATCCTTCAGGAAGGGAATGGGAAGGACTTGGTGGCTGTTTCTTTCAAATGGGATGCTAGTCCTATGTACAGAGCTCATTTACCAGTTGGCTCTGAGTGCAGCTCCTTTAAATGTACCACTGCTGTGGTGTTTTTTGTGGGGGTTTTTTTTGTTTGTTTTGTTTTTTTGAGACAGAGTCTCAAGCTGTTGCCCTGGGTAGAGTGCTGTGAGAAATTGCTGTCACCCTAGGTAGAGTGCTGTCAACCTGAAAGATTGAGTGTTTGTTCCATTTCTCCTGCTTCTGTCTTTACGTTACTGTAAAGGATGAGTCACTGCTCAGAGCAACCTAAAACTCTTGGGCTTACGCAGTTCTCTTGCCTCAGTCTCTCAAGTAGCTGGGACTACAGGCGCCTGCCACAATGCCCAGCTGTTATTATTTTTTTTTCCTGGTTATAGTTGTTGTTTGGCAGGCCTGGGGTGGATTCAAACCCGCCAGCTCCCGTGTATGTGGCTGATGCCTTAGCTGCTTGAGCTCCAGGCGCTGAGCCTGGTGTGGTGTTTTTAATCATAAAGAACTAGAATATCTTTCCCATTTTCAGCAAATGGCAAGTTTAGAATCATGTTTTTAGTGATTAACCTCACTCTCACACTTTTACATCTTTCAGGTGTGTGTGGGAGATAGCCTATACCTTCACAAGTTTTTTATTGATTAATTAGGAAGATAATACACACACCTAACCTAACACAAACCATGGGATGGGGCTGGGGTGACTGTGCAAGGCTTCCTGCAGGAAGGTAAACTCTGAAGGTGGGTAGGATTGAGGCAGAAGGGTTTATGGAGGAGATACAGACTGGAGATGGATTGTGACCCAGACAGAACTGAGAGGGAGGGAAGAAGAAACTAAACATGTCACAGCCATCCAGTAATTACCGGTTACTCTTCCTGACCCTCCAAGGTACACATTGTACTTTATCTTCTTAGCATCTCTGAGAAGGAAGTGGTTTCACAAGTTTCCTTGAGTTCAAGTACTTGGAAGAATCCCCTGAGCTCCGCTTGAGACTTCCTAGTGCCACGTAGAGAGAAGAGATTGAATGTTTGCTCCATTTCTCCTGCTTCTGTCTTGACATTACTGTAAAGGATGAGTCTGTACAAAGGTGCTGCTGTTTTCTTAAAGCTTTCTAGGGAGGAAGAGTGCAGTTTCCTAGGGAATCTGTCTGATAAGGAAGTTCTTTCTCAGGGTCTTTGGCAGACCTTTGTAGAAGCTGGTCCCTCTGTGTGTGTGTGTGTGTGTGTGTGTGTGTGTGTGTGTAGGGCATCCCTTTCTTAGACACTGTTGGCCAGAGTGGATATAGATGTGTTGGACATCCTCCTTCATTTCCCCCAGAAATTTGAGGGTCCTTAATATCTTGTCAATTAGCCAACACTTAAAAAAAAGAATCTATTTGTGATGTCTGTGGATTAGGGTCCCAGAAAGAAGGACAAGGACTTAAATGGACAGTCCTTGTTTGTGAGCAGCCCTCCTTGCTCTTCTGCCCTCTTTGTGATCTGTGGCCATGCTGGTGGTCCTCAGACCCCTCTTGACAACTCAGGAATGGCTTCTGAGCTGTGAGAGAGCTCAGCGTTATGGGGCTTCAATTCTACTTGAGTGAAGTTATTCATTCTCCCTTCCTGCATTGAGACATGTGGTAATTGCTCAGAAATGTTATCCCTGGTGTGTCTTTACTGCTGACTCTGGTGTCTCATTGCTCACTATGATTCTGATTGCCTACTGTTGTCTTATTGCTTGCTGATATATCTTGTAGTTTGCTATATACTGTCTCTAAATTGGGTACTATAACAGTTAAAGAAGGGTTCCCTAAATTTATTTTCATTAGAGGAATAGCCCTGTGTATGAATGTGTTTGCCCTTTCTTTTTTTTTGTTTAGCTGTGTTTTGTGTAGCTTTTATCCAAAATGGCTTTTCTTTGCAGAATTATCATCCTGAGGCTGTTTTTTTTGTTTTTTAATGTGAAGGTGAATGTGTCACTAGAGAAATTTAGGGGGAAATGAAATTTATTAAAATTAAGAAATCAGATCAAACTCTACTTTTGAGCTTCATGTATCTTGTTGAAGAGGAAAGGGAATCAAATGAAAAAGCAGATTTCTAAAAATCCCCACCCTTCCACTAATCACACAGTAAATTAACATCTCCATATTTACTTCCTGAAAGGGCTCGAATGCTCCCTTGTCAAAATTATTCATTTTCAGGATAATGCCTTGGTTTTTGGGAAGGCACATTCCGCCTTTTAATTTTGTGATCTTAAAAGAGGACATAAGTACGATTTGGTTTGTAATTCTTTGATATGGGGGAAAGGTAAAAAGCGTAGATACCTGCTCGTGGTCATGAAGATAGTTATCTTCTGAGAACTGAGCCAGTGTCTGATTTATCTTTGTTCTGCCGAGGTGTCTTGGTCAAAGCCTTACCTGTTCATGGTAATCAATAAATACTGCTCACATAGACTGGCTTATACTGGACGGGACAGCATTTGATTTTACGTCCAGGAGGACTCTCTCCTTATAGTTCTCTGTATTTATGGGGGTTTGGCTGGAAATGGAACTTGGTATCTCATTTCCCTTCAACCTTAGCAGCTACCACCTAAAAAGTGGGACCACCTCTTTTCTTGGTCATGACTGAGTGTTGCATCAACGATTCTGTGAACTTCTATGTGGTCAGGTAGTTACATTAAATTGTGATATTTTAGAGGACCAGGGACAAGAGAATTGCATGTGCAGTTATTTATAGTCAATAACTAGTTATCTTTCAACATTAGCTGAATAACTGGGCAATGTTAACTGTTCTCTAAAAGCCAAAATACAGTAAGACCCACTTTGTTTGGACCACTTATAATTGCAAGATCATTTAGAAAATACAATCACAAAATAAAAGATGCAGGCACAACTCAAGTGACTGTCTTCTGGTATTTAATCTAATTTGAACTTTAGGTAGCCTTGTGTTTTCCAAGGTCAGGGTCCTCAAACTATGGCCCACAGGCCACATGCAGCTCACCGAGGACATTTATCCGCTCCAGGTGTTTTTGCCACCGCTGCCTGTCCTACTTAGCCACAGACTCGTCCCTGGCTCACAGTGCGCATGTGTGGAATGTGTGCCGCACTCTCTGACCCCCTCCTTACCTCTGTCTCTCCACGACTCCTCTGAGTCTCGGGTGTGATTGGAGGAGTCACGAGCTTGCCTGTGCAGAGCCTGCTGCTGCCTGAGGACCCAGGTGCCTTTTTTTTTTTTGAAGTTAGAAGAGCTTTAAAGTTGGTTAGTTGGTTGGGGGTGGTTTCTAGCGGGGTTGTGTCATAGTGATAACGCAATTA